AAAAAAAACCGAAGCATACATTTTTATGGGTATTTAATGGATCAAATCAAGCGATATAATAATGGTGAGAAGGAAATACTGAAATAAAAGTATTTTTTAATAAATGAATGAAGGAAAGAACGAAAAATGAAAAAAAAACAGTGAATGACAAACATTATTATTTGAATGTCCGAGAATGAAAACGCAACTTCTATTCACAACACATATAAGCGAAACAAAAATAAAAAATTTATTGAAATGAAACAACACAATCGAATTTTTTCAAAGTGTAACAACAAAAAAGATTTTTTTAAAGTGTATAATCGGTATGTAGTAAGTGTAACAACATACCGATGTTACACTTTAAACAAATCTTTTTTGTTGTTACACTTTGAAAAAAATTCGATTGTGTTGTTTCATTTCAATAAATTTTTTATTTTTGTTTCACTTATATGTGTTGTGAATAGAAGTTGCGTTTTCATTCTCGGACATTGATTTAGAACAATCAAGCAGTCTAAACAGTGACTCAAAATGAGAAAGTAAATGATACTCATTTCTTTCACTGCCAAATTGGCAGCGATAAATTCTGCATCTCATCAAACGAATAAATGATTTTCAAACTAACTATAAATATACTGAATTGCACGCGCCAATCGAGTGGATGTGTTTTTATTGGGAGCATCAAAAATTTATTTGGGCTCTCTGAATTTGGGCCGCGACACTTACGGCCGCCAGTACATTTTTGTTTGCGGCTGTAAGTGATTCCTGATAGCGGCCAAAAGTGTCTTCACAAAATGTACTTACGGCCGCTGCGTCCGAAAGTCCGTTTTGAGTGCGGCTGTAAGTACATTTCCCCATAATCACTTTGAGCCGCCGCGGCCATATGTGTATCTTTGATGCGGCTTAAGTTTATCGGGTAATTCGAATTGTATTTACAAATATATCTAGTAAGAGTACACCTTAACTCTCGCTCGTTCATTTCACTCTTTTGCAATATTATTTTAAAGATAATGAAATAAATTTTTAGTGCCAATACAGGTGGATAGGATAGCACAGAGAACCGAATGAGCGCGCGCGCGAATGAAGGTCCTCTGTGCTATCCTATCCACCTCTATTGGCACTAAAAATTTATTTCATTTTCTTAAAAAAAAAATGGTACGATCAACAAAGGTTCACTCGCGCGCGCTCGTTTGGTCCTGTGGAACTCCCCACCTTTGTTGATCGTACCATTTTCATTTCAATAATTGTATCTTCATCCGAATATAGAGTCTACAGTACCTTAAATAACGTAAAACCGCTTAAATTCAACGTGTAAGTCACGCGGCTGTAAGTGCATTTTCAGTGCGGCTCAAAGTGATTTCTGAGAAAAACATTTATAGCCGCGGCGGCCGTAAAGTATTTTTAACAGCGGCTATAAGTGTTTTTCTTATAAATCACTTTGAGCCGCGCGGCTGTAAGTGAAATTTGACTTGCGGCCGTAAGTGTCGCGGCCCAAATTCAGAACTCCATTTATTTGCATGAAATAAGCAATGATTTTGGCAGACGGAAGTAAAACATGATACTGAAATCAATGTAATGTACATTGTATTGCAGGATTTTTATGATGATCATTGGTTTTGATAAAGGAAAAAATATAGTTTTAAATAAAAAAGACACGGAAAAAAGACGAAAACAAATTTCGCCAAGAAATTTTTTCCACTATTCGGAGTTTCGGTTTTCCGTTATTAACAGGTCAATTTGTATGGAAGAGCTCAACGGCCAAATTTTTTTTTCCACTATTGACACGATATCCACTATTCCCAGGTTCCGTTATTGACAGGTTTTACTAACAAAAACTAAGACTTTTTTGTTCCGCCACTTTTTGATTTGGCCGCCATCTTGGCCTTGGCTGGCCTTTGAAAATTCAAAATATGGCCTTCTTTCCAATGATCACTGTGCCTAACCCAGTGAACCGATTTCAAACTTTTAGGTATCGTTGGAAAGGTCTTGAGGCCAGCTATCAAATGACATCTATTTTAATTTGAAAAAATCAAGTTGGTATGGTCTTATGGGCAGAATACCAAAAAAATGGTCACCTGGCCTTGCACAAATCGGCCATTTTCTCGAAAACGGCTCCGACGATTTTTTTCAAAATTGCCTCAGATATAGCTCCAAACTAGAGCTAAAATTTGACATATAGCTTATATCTGGCAAAACTCTGTTTTTCGAGAAATAGCCATTAGAAGTTGGAAAAAACATGAAAAATCAACAAAAATCAACTAAAACTAATTTTTGTTGCCGTGAATAAGGGCAAAATCATAACCAAAGTGTTTTTGCGTTCAGATGAATAAAATTCCTTCAGATACCAAGCCCTCACCAAGTCTTTTTATTCCACGCAATCAACAAAAAACACAAAAAAGTACTTTTCATGAAAAAATCAAAATCAAAAAAATTCATCATGAAAAAACTAAATATGTGATAGATTCTTAGTATAAAAGCGATATGTAATTTCATCAAAACAAAATGTGATTTCATCTGTCTGTCCAAAATCCAAATTTTATTTAACGAAAAAAAAAATTTAATTTTTTTTCCTCCAGTGTGCGACTCGAACTCGAGTCCACACACTCATAAGTCTGCTTTCCTACCTACGCGCTGATTTTGCTTTATTCAAAAAGGCGACAATGCTGGTTTCTAACTACAACATTTCATGTTTAATTTTCTTTGCCTCAATACACACCACTTTGTGTTTGTTTGGTGTTGGTTGGTTTCGAAAGAAAAAAAATTTCGGATACAAAACAACTGATATCAAATAAAAAAACTTCTTTCGAAGTAATTCCTCGTGACGAAAGCGAACACAAAACAGCTGATATCAATTTTAAAAAAATTGGATTTGCTTTTTTTGCATTCTTTCAACTAATTTCAGAATCGCTCCGTAATGATTTTTTGAAATTGATATCAGCTGTTTTGTGTTCGCTTTTGTCACGAGGAATTACTTCGAAAGAAGTTTTTTTATTTGATATATTGTACAACAATAAGTGAATTTGCCTTTTTTCCTTTGTTCTGTTTTATGCAATCAAATGTTTTTACATGTTCAGATGAAAATAGTGACGCAATTTATTGTTTGTTACGCGTTACTATTAGAAATAGTTTTTGATGAACTTTCGCTGCTTTTCGTTAAAAAAATCACGATTAAATTGCATGAAATGCAGTGTGATATACGAATACTTGTAGATCGAATTGATTTGATATTTCAGACTCGTTCGAATCGAGTAGCTACAAATCTTATCTAAATATTAGTTTTATTTTTTGTTACTAGAACAACGTCAAAATTTGTGTTGGTATATTGTGTTCCCACTTGGCATGTATGCCACGGTTTCCAATCCACTTCAAACTGCACTCGCTCTATCGATGCAATACGTAAATATTAGCAATTTATATATAATAAAAAAACGGATAAGATAAAACAGCAATTTCAAGTTGTGGCGTGTATGGTGCAGACGGATCGTCATTATTTTTATAATTGCGCTACATGGCTACTCATTATTTCTCCAATGAGTCCAGTGTCGCACATCACATTATTACTCATTACAACACTCGAACATCATTCCAAATTCCTTTGGTGCACACGTATAGCACTCTCGAAAATCCTGCCATATCTGTTATTAATATACCTTGTAGTAAACGCGTTCATAGTGTTTCACTGTAGTAGCGGTGTTACCTATTAAATTTTCTTGTAGTAATACTACAGTGGAATTTAATAGGATACTTTGCTACTACAGTGAAACACTATGAACGCGTTTACTACAAGGTATATTAATAACAGATATGGCTGATTTTTGAGAGTGAGCCTATTGCGTATAACCGTTGTTTTTTCATTCCATCTGAATAAATACAAAAGTGGTGTGTTGGGCTGAAGCCGTTTTCGAAAATGATTATTCGTTTATTGTGCGACTTTTTGCTCTTATTAGGAGCATCATCAGGCTGGAGAACAAAAATGTACACAAAAAACAATGAGTAAGTGTTAAAACAATTGGCAAGAGCCGAAAATAACCAAATTACGAACCGGTTACATCTGAATGTGAAATGTTCTTGAACGTATTCCATTTTTTTCTATCAATTTCCACAAATTGTATCAGCTACACGTGTCCATCAGAGGAATTTTGTTATTGACTAGGGGTTTCATTCAAGGCTTGAGAAATGTGAATATTTGTGAATTTTGTGAATATTTTGAATAAAATTTCCAAGATGGCGACGAATTCAAGATGGCGGCTGATGAGAACGCCTGAACTGTCAAATAAGAAAGACTGAATATCTGTGAATATGAGTGGATATTCTGAATATAGCTCAAAACACACCGGAATTCATGAATTTTTGAATAACAAATTCCCCTAGGTTATTGAGCTTCATTCAGTGTCTGATTATGATTACACTAAGCAACCACAGAGAAGAGAACTTATTTCCAATGTGTTTGGGAAACTTATTTAAAACCTAAGGGGATTTCTCACGAAAAAAATGAATGAATTCTTAAAAATTTTGAAAAATTCCTTCAATTCGGTCCGATTCGATCAATTTTTGTCAATTCGTGTAAATAAATGTACATTTACACTGAACTTTTGAATTATGCTTCAATGAAATTGTTATGGAAGTGAGTTTTGGTGGATCTCAACGATCGTTCAGAACTGCTCCCGGTTCTGGAAGTGGATCTTCAGGATGGGCCAGGGCAATGTCAAACCGGATCTGGTCCATCCTGAGGATCCACCAAAACCCAATTCCAGAATCGGGAGCAGTTCTGAACGATCCTGAGGATCCTCCAAAACAAATTGAGTGTCTCCTCTTTTTGGGGGATTTTTTTTTTCATTTTCGAAATTTGTTGCATAGTGTTAGTAGACCTCAATTCGTAAATTCCATAACTGAAAAATACCACAATTCATCAATTATACGTTACATGGCACGTGTCAGCTATTAGTAGATGAATGGTATAAACGAGGCAGCACCGCATAGGAAAGACCAAACGAATTCAAAGGATCTTCTAAAGAAGAACAAGAAATTTCTCTACTATCATTGTGCAACAGGTTAAAACTCTGTTTCGTTGGCAAATTAAAATGAATCTACTACACGGTTTGTTTTCGGTGCTATTTATCGTTGAATTTTCGGTAAGTTTTTTTCTTTTTCTTTATCATTTTCACTTTTATCCAATAAAATACGATATTTCTGTAGAACTGAAAGTAAACACGAAATTTCTTTTTCTAGGAACTTCAAGGAAAACGTAAGACAAATTTGGTTTTCGTACACGCTTTTTATGATTCCAAAAGATTTTTTCAGACTTTTATTATATTCAATTCGAAATTCCAACTTTTTTTCTAATGAACAGATGGCTTTTTCTCGCAAGCTCTTCTTAAGGGCGAAGTGATTGAAAACATGTCACAGGCAAAGTTTGTAGCTGGAATCCATATCCCCGCAAGTAAGTCTGCTTTAGAATCATTTTCATTTTCATTTTTGTGTGTGTGAATTTTTGTCCGAAAAATTCAAATATTCTATCAATTTTGCTAGGGGCTGACCACGCTTCAAAAATAGAAATGAAAATAATGCTAGATTTTATAATTTTTTTCAAACAATATATTATTTACAACTGTGAAATTTTTCGAACTTTCTCCAGAAACGATTCACTGTAACCGATAACTTTCAATTGTGCGTTGTTATTAAAACGAATATGGTCACGGTCGCGGAGGTGTAACGTTACTGACATACAAATGAGCTCATAACATGGCCACTATCAGAGATATTTCAGAAGAGTGAAGACAAAAAATGTAGATCGAGTATGGGGCAACAATAATCGAATCATAAAATGGAATTTTTTTTGGTTTTTGTAGAGATATAATCGTGTGTAAAAAACCTTGAAAATTCGCAAATTTTCATACATTTTTTTAACACCTTCTTATTCTTTTGCACATATTTAGCATAACAAGTACACAGACTGTAGAGTTCCTTGTATTAAATGAATTTTAGTATAATTAGCTAGAATTTATGCCTTTACTCTTTCTTGTTATCTATTATGATAGCGGAGTTATGAGCATGTGAAAAACGTCAGTAACGTTACCGTGCGCCGCGACCGTGACCATATGCATTTCTGTCGGTTTACTGTCAGAAAATTCATCACATTTTTGACCACCACAAAAGTATTGTTCATAGTAGATTATGGATTTAGTCAAATATTTGAGTTAACATACAAATGGTATTAAAATTGAATGATGAAAACGAATTTTGTAGATGAAAAATTCGCGGTTTCCCCCTAGCTATTTTGTGTGTGTGTTCATTTTTTCTTTTAATATTATTGCTTGTACTGAGAATGAAACGATTTGATTACATGAATACAAAGACCATCCAAATGATCCCAATAGCAACATGATGAGTAAGTGTACTGCATTTATTCTGTCGAAAACGGAAATTATCACGAATGCCCATTGTGTGGATGACGCTCCATATGTTTATGTGGTAGCTGGTACGAAAGTTGTATCAGGTGCAAACCAGAAAATTAAAATCAAAGTCGAAAAAGAGAACATTGCATGTCACCCTCATTATAGTCGTTTAATTGTTGGTGGATTTGATATTGCCAAAATTACACTGAAAACGCCGTTACTATCGAGAAATGCGACAAAACTTAAAGTCACTAAAGACCAGATAGAAATTCATGAGGAATACGCATTTTCGGGATTGACATTTGACATTGCCAAGATTACACTTAAAGAACCGTTGGAGTTCAACGATAACGTCGGCAGCATCGATTTGGTGGACAAAGATTACAAAATGAATGACCCGTCCGAAGTGGTCACTGTCTACGGTAATGTGGTATTGGATGGAACAATGAGAACGAGGCGTTATGATACGAAATATTTGAATGGCGCCATTTGCAAACCGAAAGTGCACCCCGTATTTGATGTAAATCATTTGATGTGTTACACTTTAGATGAAAGCATGGGAACTCCTTCTACGTTTGGAGGTCCAATGATTTCGAAAAAGAATAACAAACTCGTGGGCATGACCATAATTCGTTATCCTGATCAGCCAGTTATTTTTCAACCGATTGCACCGTTGCTTGATTGGATCCGGAAGCTAAATGTAAGACGTAATCAGAGAAGAAGAATATAGGCTTGAAAAAATGGGTTTTAGGCGCCTGAAAAAGCTGAATACCGTATCTTTTTCTGCCCCTGTCATTTGATGTTCAACAAAAGAACCGAATAAATTTGAAAATCTGGAAAAAATGCATTTTATTTTCCATTAGCCCATGCGGAGTTATATGATTATCTGACTTATATTACAACGAGGTTTTTATACAAACTTCCCATGTAGATAGCCGCCACACAGGCAAAAAACGAGAAAAAAGTGTAAAAAATGCCAAAACTATGATTCAATCATACAATTGAGGCTGTGAAAATTAAAATGGCAATACAGGAATAAACATTCTGAAGCGCATCAAGAAAAAAAAACTATGCTGCCCATGTAAATTCATGTTTCACTTTTGCGTATTCAGAACTCATGATTCATTTTTGCGAATTTTTTTCTTGATGCGTTTCAGAATGTTCATTCCTGTATTGCCATTTTCATTCTCACAGCCTCAATTGACACCCATAGAACGAATGAACAACTTATGAGCTCTTTATCCATAAGTGAGACGGAAAAAACTTTGAGCAGAAAACAGACAAATAAAGCTGCGAGCAATGTGTCACTTTTGCTACTCAGCATTGAGCGGAAAAGACGTTTTTGCATTTTTCTCGCTACTGAAAATAGATAACGATTAGGTCTCTTCGACATTATTGTAGAAAATAAAAAGAACCACAAATAAGTATAACAATAATATATCAATGATTTACAAAATTCGAAAGGGAATAATGGAAAATAAATACCATGTCAACAGCACAAGCAACCATAGATATCCGACGAGTACTAACACAAGGCCGCGTTTCGAGAGAGCACGTACCAATCTTAGACTCAAAAGCATTTATCGTAATTGCACTGAGCTCTATTACGAACATGCCAACCAATTGCCTACTGAATGTTCTCTTTACACATTTGAAAAGCGACTCAAGGAAATAGTTCTGCTCAATGATAAAATTTCCCTATGTTTCTATATGGAGCACATGTTTATGCTATATTTAAGCGACATCTTGACGCTGAACGCTGAACTATGAAACTTCCATATAAACTAAGGAATTTGACTTTATTCAACGAAATAAAAATTTTCAACTGACAAGATTTTGAAAAATAACTAGATAGTAAATTTGACTAGTAAAGATTTGACTACTACGATAACTCTAAATATTCTTCCGCCTGGGAATGAAGTTGTTGAATCACATTATTTGGTGATAAATCGGCATCTAAAACGATCAGGGGTGCTGGAAGAAGATGTTGTTGATGGATGAAAATGTCTTCATGCAGCTCGTGAAGAAGTTGCAAATATTCCAGCGAAATATTGGTTTCTTCATTACGCGCACGATTGTGGATCCGGTCAATGATTGTTTGAGGTGTCGAACGCAAGTACACGAAGGCATCAATTTTATGAGAGTTATTTTGTGTCACAAACTCATACCACTCGCGGAGGATGTGGTATTCAATGGGATGTATTGACTCCTATCGTTTTAAAGCTTCCAAAAAAGACTTTTGGGTGGTGATGACAGAACGTTCGAACACTCTAACTGCTGCTTCGGATGCGGTCTTTTGTGTTTGTATCATTGTCAGCAATGCATACATCTGGAAATGGAAGCTCCAGCGGGTTTTGTCTTCGTACATCAGTTGCAAGAGATTGTAGCTGTAGCGGGTGTGTGAGCTGTCAAAACAACAAGACGTCAATATTTTCTATCCGTCGATTGTTATTTTAATTTAATGTTTTTAAACAGTATTTTTATCTTTATCATCTCTAATTTTATATTGAATGTTTCATAAATGTCTCGTAAATCTGAACATTATCAAGTTTTCACTGTGAATATTGTATAAAATAAGTTTTAAAGTGAAATACGACCGATTTATGAACAGTAATCAAACACATAACCTCAACTGATCCGAAATGGCAAGTTTATAAAACTTTCTGAACGATTCTATTTTCGGCAAAGAAACACCAACAGAACACAAATGTCATGAGTCACAATGCAATGGTCAAAGACTACACGGACTAAAGTTGAATTGTCATCGATGCAAAAACGATTTTTATTTCGATTGCATGGCCTCTCGACCAGAAGCAAAGTCGATGCTAACCGTACTGAATTACCCCGACAAAGAAAATCAAAAACAAACACATAGAGCGATAACGAAGTTGGACCCTGCACTTCGTTTTCGAACGTATTCCATTTTTTTCATCAATTTACACAAATTGTATCAGCTACACGTGTCCACGAGAAGAATTTTGTTATTGCGCTTCATTTAGTGTCTGAATACAAGGGGAGAGACACCAACGCTAGTTTCACTAATTTATTCTATTGTTTCCTAATATATGCTATTTTTGCTAGTTTCCCTCAATAAAAGTGCTATTTTTTGCTAATATTTCCTATGTGCAACGTGACAGTTTGACAGTTCATGTACAAGTAACACTCATCAAGTTATTGTATGCTTGGAAAGAAAGCAAAAAAATTATATTTTGGCAATTTTTCTAATGTAATTTCATAGAAAAGAACAAATTGTTCCATTTAATTTCATAAAATAGCTCGAAAACTTTGTATTAAACGGTTAAAAACCAAGAGTTCGAGTTTTTACGAATTTTTGCGAGTTTTTGAGTTTCATATTCAAAATATAAAATGGATTTAAGAAATTTTTTTACATTCTGCAGTTGATTTGCTTGTGTATATCGTTTCGTTAATATTTTTAAATCAGTTGTGAATGCTTACAAAATAATATTCATGTGTTTTTCAAGCAAATTTAAACTTTTCGGGCATTATTCGGTTTGCCCGAGTTTTGCGAGTTTTATGTGAGTTTTACGAGTGCGAACTTTCGTGAGTCTCCCCATGTTAAAAACAGTAAATAACAAATCGCTATTTCTTCAATAATATTGCTATTTTTTGCTATTTTTGCTATTCCCCTCTAGTATTTATATGAAGTTCAAAAAATAGCTAATGGTGTCTCTCCCCATGTCTGAATATGATTACACTAAGCAACAATAAGAACGACCACAGAGAAGAGAACTTATTTACCGAAGTTTTTTGGGGCCACTTTATCCAAATCTGGCGTTAGTTTGTCCTAGCACGTCTAGTTTTGAAGATACGATTGCAACGAAAATAGTTAAATTGATTGCAATGAGAATAATTAATTTGAAAAAATATAGAGGGAAACAAGAAATTTGTATAAACATACCTCGATGGTATCATTTTGCTTTCTTTTTGTTGCTCTGGTTGTTCTTGTGTTCGTTGCTGTTGCTTTCGATGATGATGCTGCTGCTACTGAAGGTGACGCTGACGTTGATGCTGATGCTTTTTTTTGGGAGTCTTTCTTTCCCTTTTTATCACAACACAATTTTATTATAACAAAATCACAATAAACTTATCACAAATTAACAAAAACAAATAAAAATAAATTGCAAATGAGTGGTAACTTTTGTCATAAAAATTATTAGCGATATGTTCTCTTAAACGGTCTGATAAATAATGCCGGTTCGCTACACGGTTCGGGGAAACATCAGCACTTGCATATGTTATGTGTGTAAATACAACAGCTCTAAAATTGCGGCGCAGCGTTTCAACTACATATTCTGACCGTTTGTGTGATTGAAATGTCGCAATGTTAGTGTGTTGTGTTTAAACGCGTAGCACATCTATGTGCCGCTGTTCCTCCGAACCGTGTAGTGTCTTCACATTTGTCTTTGTCTTTCAATTCAAATGAAATGTGTATGTTACACATACACATCCTACAAAATAGACTTTACATCGTTTCTTATAAACTAATGACAAATATTCAAACACCCAATGTATTTGTTCATGCGAATAGTATTGTCAATTGCAAATTTGGCTTGTGATGGATTTCGAATTGGAAAAGTATCGGCCCTAAATAGAAACATATCTGATTTAAGTAGAGCAAAGTATGACTAAATCGGAATAATTTTTAGGACCAAATCAGACTGTATTCCGATCAAATTGGACTGTTATCTGTACGTTTTAGAAAAATATCTGTACAAATCGGACTCCATTAGTACATTTTAGACGATTTATTTCTGACATTATTCGAAAATTATCCGACTTTTTCGGAATTTTTTTTTGTTCAATTCAGACAAAATATATGACATTTTTAGAATCTGATCAGATTGGATTTTTTTCTAACCATTTCGGTAAAACAAAAACCTGCCCAAATCGGAATGTAATATCGGGCATAATTGGAATTTATTTCTGCCCAATTTAGAATAATGTCCGGCCAAAATAGAAAATATCTGACCATTTCCAATCCAACCGCGGCTTCCGTATCAGATTTGGATTAAGTAGGCCAAAAAACCTTGGTAATTACCTTGGTAATTATAATTATTAGTTGCAATGAAACATACTTCTCTTTATTGCTACGAATTTGGACAAACTTGCGTTCTTTTACGTCTCACTAATAGATATATAATAATAATAATAATAATATTATATTAGCAAATGTTGTAAAGCTACATACATGAATGCCCTTAAATCTATCCTTACAAACTAATTTTGATTTCGTTTTACAAAATGAATATTTTATATTGCAACATTTACATATGAACTGCTGAGAATAAAAGGCTGACGATTGTAGGTTTTTCGCAAAAGCGGGATAAAAATCAGTCGCACGCAAAAGAGACATTTCAAAAGGTTGCACGCAAGAGAGAAGTATATTGTTGTTGTAATCACGGCTTGAAAATTCGAAATGCGACAAAATAAAATGTTCCGTTTGCGTGCAACCTTTTGAAATGTATCTATTGCGTGCGACTGATTTTTATCCCGCTTTTGCGAAAAACCTGCAATCGTCAACCTTTTATTCTCAGCAGTTCATATGTATCCCTAGTGAATATTGAATTGTTTTTCAAGTATTATTTTTTTCGGTTTGTTTTTGAACTTAATCATATTTTTTCTCTCTTTAGAAGAGAAAATCATGTCTCATATTTTTTTTCTCTCTTATGATATTTTATTATATTTGTGTTAGCAATGCTAACTTAGCATCGATTTATTATTGATTTGTCACCCCATTTATTTTT